ATGGACTTTGGAACCATTTGTGTTCTGATAACACGTCGGATTGCTGATCATTCTAATTTTCGTATTCTGTTGTCTTATCATTCCGTTACCTTCTTGACATTGTACGGCTATGGTTCACCCATTCATGCTAAAATTGTTCAATGGTAGCTTCGCTCCGATCGATCGATATTGTAATTTGACCACTCTGCTTCCTTTGCACGTTCTTTTACAAAGGATGGCATTAGCTCACATTGTTGACGAATTCATCAACGACGCGTTTGTACAAACCACGAGGATTGACAAATATACATTCTCCAGGAAATGATATCTCAGTATTCTAACATCTTTTGCTTTATTCATCAATTGAATGGTTCGTAGCAATTCGCTAGACTTCGTTAGTCATTGTGGACAAAATGTTTTAATTTGCATATTCCATTGTAAGATATTTGCATCTACGCTCTTTCGTCCCATTGGTATGAGTCTTCCTTGGGGCGTCACTTTTTATACTGTTGAATACATAATATCTCATTGCAATAAACAAATTTTAATTTTCAATGATTTTTGAACGATCTTGCTTTTGCCCCTTTTCTCCATGGATTTTATCACATTAAGCAACCTCTTTAAAACTCACAAAAAACTTTATGCATTTCATTAAAGTCTCTAAGCATTTGTTCTGGATCCTGTCCTATCTCTCTACCAAAGTCCTCAAAACAATTCCGTTTTGAGAACCGCTTATATCCACTCATTTTAATTTCTTTTAAAATTCTTTCAGTAAAGTCACCGAAAAAAAAATGCCGAGATGTGTGAGCGAACGAAGGACGGAATTTCATAACTGTGCCTGCAAACAATTTCCTCTGAACTAAAGGCCTACACGCACATTTCAACTCGGTCAAAGCATATTATCGAATTCAAAGACATGAAGAGAGAGAGCACAAAAATATTCCACAACTAATCGCTTGGTTGCTGGTTTATAACTATTTCATTCATTCGACTCTTCATATTACATTAAAAATTAGTTTATGGAACAACATTTAACTTTAAGACAGTTTTTAAGTCTTAAAATTTAATGAGAAATTTTAGGAATGTGAAAATCACTGTAATTGTCTATATATATTGCTCAAAATTGTGAGCTTATTACTCATAGGTTTTTGTAGAACTCTAATGTGACGTTTATTCAATAGATAAATAACATTTTCTTCTGAAAGGGTACGCTTTTATCACCACATATTCAGCATTGCATATTAGTACTATTCCCAAGCCATTTTTTTTTGTCCAGAATCAGAAAACATGCATTTTTTTTTAAATCTCGCTAGTAGGTCTCTCTATTTCATTTCGGTTCATCTCGGGCCATGAAATGATTCAGACATGGTATTAGTTCTTCAAGACCGAAGCCTGATGGTCTCCAACCAAACTAAGGATTAAGCCCAATATGACGTAAGTTTGTCCACTCATCCATTTTTTTCGTAGTAGAAGAAGATTGGATTATTTATACTGATCCCCATGACGCACCCCCGCGTCTTTTGAGAACAGCTGTTGGCAAGAAAGAAAATAGGATTTTGAGGGTGCTGTTATATTGTACTTTATTTCACTATTGAATTGATACACTTGTGAAGTTGCCCCCCTTGGGTGCCCTTCTCCTTGATTATCAGCGTGAGCTAGAGGTGTAGGGATAAATGAAGAACTAGAAGTTTCCATGATCTTAATATTACTTTATTAAGATCTTAAAACTTAAACATCTAACAGATTAGATAATAATAATAATATAAGGGAGAGAATCTACGGCGGCAAAACACACAATATAGATAATACCGAAATAACTTAACCTGGACCACTACCAATAACTAACTCCGCTAAACTCAATTCCAATACTATCACATATCCTAATATTAAATAGTTAGTCCTACCTTAATTTCGGGTCCAATCTTAATGGAAGTTGCGTGTTTACTGGAGTGCAATGGTATGCACCTTGACCTAATGGCTCTATGTCAGGAATAACTTCTGTGTTGGCTGTCACTTCACAATTGAATCACGGACTATCTCAACATTCCCCAAATTGCCACACCATTTACTCTAACTTCTGATATTTAAAAGCTTCCTAATTTGCATCTTTCCTTCACGCTTCACTTCTTGGGTTTGGTTGGAAAAGAGTTGCCATTAATTCTGGCCCCAAAGAACCCAAAGGACATGTTAATGAAAAGACGTGAGAGCCTGTCATACTCTGGCGTAGCTAGCCCTGAGTGGAGGCCACGTATCTGAAATTCCTTGGGGGCCCTTTTTTTGGAAAATAAATAAAAATGATCGCATTGATAAAACTTATATGAAAATGTTAAAAAAAGTATACATAGACATAATGTGTTAAAAACTTCATTTTACTTAAGAATTAACTGAGTTGTTTAAATAAGTGCTTTTTTCGATAAACGCAATTGTAATAATATCCATAGCAGATGATTTATTCATCATTCATTTTTCATCTGTTTCTATTTACAGTATTGTTAAGCCTCACAGTACCCTACAAATTTCAATAAAACCAAACAAAAGGGGTTGTTTTTTTTTACATTTTTTTGTGGTCCATATTATTGGGAAGCTTGCCACCAAATCTTTGATCTGCTAACAAATTAGTTCTTAAGACATTTGAAGTTAGGTTTTGGTTTCGGTTTCATTTTTAAGGCGTTTTCTACTCTTAAATTGAATTAAATAAAGATACTTTTTACTTTTTTTTACTTAACTTATTACTTATAAACATTTTACCTCTGAAAAGTAAATGGCATGCCCCCTCCTTTTATTCCACAGCTGTGTGAGACTGGTAAAGGAAGCCAAGACAGTAAAAGGAAAAGAACTGGATATAAATGGACCGAGTTTATCCTATCCCACAAATCAGCAATACTAAAAATGACAAACATTGAGTATATAAGAAAAATAAAATTAGATCCTATATGACGAATAAAATGGAAACGTTGAACGTACCTAGCTTTTGCCAAAAAGTGAGAAACAAATTAGGAACTGAAAATTGTAAAAGTAGAGAAAGAACTTTAAATGTTTTTCTCGTAGCAGCATTTATTTTTAGAAGCCATTGAGTTTATTTTTTTCTCTTAAAATTACTTAAGACTACCAATAAAAAGAATTCTATTTTAAGTTATTTTAACATTAATAGATGTCATATGCGTAATAAAGAAATGTTTAGCTATTTTTTAGATATTTACCGCTGCGTGGAATATATTTTAGTCGTGCAACAAAAAAACAAACTTGCTAAATTTCGTCGACTTAACACAAAGAAAGTTTAGATGTTATGTACACAAATCTGGTGGTTTCTAACTTTATTTTATATAATTTTTATTTATATAAGTACATTGTGTTAAAAACCTTTGTGAAAATATGTTAAGATTAAGCTGAGTAATCTATGGTTGTAACAAATGCTATCAATATTAAAAAAAAATGAAGAAAACAAATTTAAGCTTTTTTAATTAAAGTATTGTTTTAAACTATAGCACTTATGTCGGAAAATAACTAGACTAAAAAATAATGAACTTTACAGACATTATTAGTTTTTGTTTTATGCCTTAACAAATTTCAAATGTGTTTTCTCAGATTTTCATTTTGGAAGATGAAAGTGTTTTCTGTTCTCTAAAAACTTTTCCTGTTCAAGATAGTCTTGAACAATGGGGTTTGTTAAAGATATATATATATATATATTCTATAAAAGTTTTATGCAGATACAAATATATGAACTCTAGCTAGTTTTTTAAACAATATTTAAGTTAACATTTTAAAAAATTTCATATTTTTTTTTTTTCCAATTTCAAAAATTTAAATGTTTTCCCAGGATTAGCTAGAAAAATAATTATTAAAACTCAACATATTATCAACATAGTTGAGAAAAAAAGTTACAAAATTCAACATATTTTCTAACTTTTTTTTCTCAATTATCTAAGAAACAGAAATCGCTCGAAATAATGAAAAAATTTTAAAAATTAAGAAACTTTAAAAAAAACTTCAAAATTTGTAATTTTTGAAATTTTAAAATAATGGTTGGTCACACAAATTGACTTTTTATTTTCAGAATCAATTTAATAAACGGAAAAAAAAATTCATGAATTACTTTTAATATAACTGTCCCCAAAATAATGCTTGAAAAAAGGGCACAACGCTGTTAAAACTAGTAACAAATTTAAAGCAATACACCATTTTCTTCATGAGTATACATACCGACCAGATATAAAATCAAAGAAAATAAAAGAACGCACTCCAAAAAAAGTTTCAAAACGATAGATGCTATCTCTCTCCACCACAATCAAAGAGAAAGAAAGAAATTGTAAAGAGACATTTCTCATTACAAGAAATAGAACGTGGTTAAAAACAGACTATAACAAGCATTTGTAAAAACATTGATCTAATAACCATTGTTTTAAAAAAAAATGACATTTTCTTGTTAAAGATTCAAATCGAAATTGATTGTTTTCCTGATCAATCCTTCTAAGGCAATTTCAAATAAAATTTATATGTAAGAGATATGAGCAGAAAAAGAAATTTATTGCACAATTTTATATTTCTATTAAACAAAAAAATTAAATAATGCAAAGACAAATAAAAAAAAATGTCTTTCTACAAAAATAGAACTGAAAAACCAAAAATTTATCTTTAAATTTCAACTGAGTTATTCGATTCAATATTACAATGTTCAATTCAAAATAGTAACCAAAACTTCACAGGCTGCTTAAATGATAAGTAAACATGTAAATTCTTTATTCTTTCCTCTGTTTTTCAATTCCTTCTATTAGTTCACAATCTCCATATATCTACATATATATATATATATCTTGTTCAAATTTTCAGTCGTTTATAAAATACTTTCTATTCATCCATTCAAGTTCAAATACATTTTTTAAAACCTGTAGTAAATGATACTAGAGGTTAATACAGCTTTTTCAAACATTAATTCATTCGTTAAATGTAATTAATAAATAAATAGTAACACAAAAAAATAATAGTCTATCATCATAAAAAACAGGAAAATCGCTCGTGATGTCCCTGTAGCGCAATGGATAGCGCGTTGGAATGCTAATCCAAAGGTCTGTGATTCGAATTCTACTTGGGATGGCCTAATTTCAGAGAATATAATGTGTGAATGAATAAATAATAACAAACAAAAATAATAGTCTAACACCATATATAGAAAGGAATATCACTTTCTATTTTTTCACTTAATATTGCGATTCTGTCATATGTATATACATATTTATATTAATTGTAATTATTTAATAAAAAGTAAGTAAATTAAAAATTTTCTTTGTTGACCTAAGTAGGAATTGACTTAAAAAATTATGTTACTTGTTTCCCATTCATTCCTAAAACTGTTTTTCTATTGTAATATATCTGCTAACTCTCATATGAAATAATAAATTTATTTTTACACTTATAAGTTAAAATTGTGTTACACGTTATTTTATCTTTTAACAATGTTAAATATCTTACAGCAGAGGTCTTGTAACTTTTCCGACTCACAGAACCCTTAAAGTTGTAAGGTATTAACAGGAAATCCCATTGAAAAAACACGCAGGAGGGCAGTTTTAACCTCCCCTGTGACCAAGGTACTTCAAATTGCTACGTCCCCGGATCTGAAAAATAATTGAGTGTAGTGGCCCCTATAACCATATATCTTCTTCAAACATGGAGACTAAATCTGCCATCCTACAAAATTCGAACTAAACCCTTGACCCCCTAGACCATGCATTCTCCTTGTAAGAGAAATTTTATTTTGAGGCAAACGGAGTGTTAAATATTATTCTTAAGAGCAACTGTATTCTATTAAAAAGAAATTACTGGTAATGTACATATAAAATATTCTTCTTTTTATCTACACTTTTTTTATATTTGCATACTTCACTGCAATCAAAATGACATTAAAGCTGTCTTCAGCTAATGTTAAAGAATAGGACGCAAGAAAAGTCTTTGTTGCCCTAATTGGAGCTGTACACACATTATCATCTTCTACTGCAATGAATTCTTCCGATAATACAATAGGACAGTCCAATCCGGCTGGTTCATTCCCGGAAGGGAAACCTTTTCGAGTTAAGCGATTTTCGTTTCGTGTTAAGAGAAAAAAAATCCATGAGAATATATAATTGTTTGTCGAGGGCGTTGTATTATTTCGTGTTAACCGATATTTCGTCTTAGGCGATTTCGCGTTAAACGTATTTCACTGAATATGTGTGTGATGTTAATATATACAATTCTTTCTGGGAATTTTCAATAAAAAAAATTACTTACCACACTTTTACCCTTTTTTGTTAATATTTTACCAACACGATTCCACGAGGAAAGAAAATCTCAACACAGTACATGAAATATTTAATTACAGAACTACGCAAGAAGAGTGTATCAACGGGAAATCTCTGTATTGAGAAAAATCTTGTAATAGTGAGAATTTTAATGAAAAATTCTTGGCCTATGAGGCATATAGTATTCGAAACAAATGGCTGGAGTATTTTGAAGAATAGACCAGGTTATTGCAAAAGAAGAAATCCATAAATGTATGCTCCATAATTAAAACTAAACTAGAAAATAGTTTTTAAATTGAAGTAATTACAAGACAGTTTGTCTTATATTACGAAAGGCTGGATACGTTGGAAACCAGCTGTTCAGCATATAAAGTTAATCGCAAAAAGGAACTTAATTTTGAAAAAAAGGACAGAAAAATTGGATACAAATTTGTTACATTTCGCAAAAAAAGTAAATTTACTCATTGATCAGATGGGTACCAAAAAGTCTGAAGAAGTCCATTAACAGAACTGAGAGAGAGAGAGAGAAAAGAGAGAGAAAACATTATAGAAGAGGTATAAAATACGACCGTGATTGAATAATGGTTTTAAATTATACGTCCCCTCAATGACTGACAGAAATAATTAATAAAAAATAATTAAATAAAGTGCCTTTTGAACTTTTTGAAAGGATATTTACTTCAAAATACCATTCAATTAAGACTCGATATAGCATATACCTTTGAACATGACAATGTACCAAAATTTGCCCAAGTTGTGCAATAATTATTGTTTTATATTACTCCAAATCTTCTCGAAACGCATTCTCATCATCCGATATGAATCCTGTTGAATAAGTATTGGATTACTTTGATCGACACACCCACGCATTACATAGTATCTGCATGTATGTGTGTGACCTTTTTTGTTCCGCCCAGGTTCGATTTGACACTACGACACTCTAGAAGGCTGACTAAGAGTTTTGACACTTTGGGGCAATTTTTGTTATCTATATTCTCTTACTTGGGGTTGTGATTCAACGCACCACTGCGTTTCTTTTTTTATCCATAATTTTAGTTTTCTAATTTATGTAATACAATTCGTAAGTTCTCGAGTACTAAATAACGTTAAAAAGGAGAAGAAACGCAATGCTATGCTACAAAACGTCGTTGGTATCGAAAAATAATTGTCAACACAGGTCCAGGAGAATCTAGGATTCTTCTTCAGTTATGACATAATCACCTAAGAAAGGGAGGAAAAAGAATGAAGTTCGCCTCCGCTAGAAAATTAGCTTTGGCAGTCAGGTACTAGTTTGGAGGGGGGGGGGGGGGGGATT